CTGTATATTTTTGAGAGTAGTACATCATTAATGACATCCGATGGTTTATTTTGCAGGGTTCCGGCACCTCTGCCGATGCGGGGGTCTCGGTCGCCGCCACCGTCGACCCCGGCGAGGGCAGCAGTGGGCCGCCGGCGATCTTGAGGAGGGCTGACCCGTCATCGGTGAGTACACAGGGAAAGGAGAATATTATAACCATGTGTGATGGAAACCGATCCATTTAAATAATATCAAATTCAATATGTAACACCAAAAGGTAGACGTTTTGCAATGCATTTGCAATGCCAGCTTCCCACACAACAAGCCGAACGTATTATGGCGAATTTTCACATTAAACTCTTCAACACATGTACCACTGTGTATTGCTGTACACTGTGTAGTAGCCGTTTTCACGACGGGCTATACGGCGAGTGCAACTAATTTGACCAAATCTGCACCTTATCTCTTTTACAGCAAATATCTTTATTTTATGAATTTATTTCAGTGTTTTAATCGATGATGCTCTCTCATAATATGGCAAAGCAGGCATATAAGCAATTAGTGCAACCCTAGCTGATAGCTACTAAGAGACACACTAATCCTTAATTGACCAAATCTGCACCTAATCTGCACCAAATGTGCACCAAATGTGTACCAGATGGCCGTCGTAAAAAGACTATTAATGGGTGTAGTAGATTCATGACATCCATTTGTTTATTGTCCAGGGTCCTGGCACCTCTGCCGATGCGGGGGTCTCGGCCGCCAACATCGTTGACCCCGCCGTCGACCCCGGCGAGGGCACCAGTGGGCCGCCTGTGATTGCCGCATTAAGGACGAGGGCTGACCCCTCATCGGTGAGTACACAGGGAAAGGAGAATATTACAATGATGTTTGATGGAAACAGCAGTCCAGTTAAATAACATTACAATTTAATCAGTGACACCAAAAGATATGTTTTACCATACGTATGCTGTCAGATTCTTATTCAGACGAGTAGAACGTATTACGGCATAATTTACATTTGACTGCAATAAATCTGTTAACATGTTCATTCAATATTTATTCAATGCCGGTGCATTAGAATTTAGATTGCTGCTGGTAGGCTCCTTTTAAATAGACTGGCTATCCTTAATTGTGTTTTACTGTATATTTTTGGGAGTAGTACATCATTAATGACATCTGTTGCTGTATTTTCCAGGGTCCCGGCACCTCTGCCGCTGCGGGGGTGTCGGCCGCCGCCGCCGTCGACCCCGGCGAGGGCAGCAGTGGGCCGCCGGCGATCTTGAGGAGGGCTGACCCGTCATCGGTGAGTATACAGGGAAAGAAGAATATTATTAACGATGTGTGATGGAAACAGCTCCAGTTAACTAGCATTACAAATTTAATTCGTGTCACTAAATGCGGTACAGTTTGCATTCAGGAAGTAACATGCGGCGGACACGGCATTGCGGTACAGCTCGGGCATTTTACGGAAAAATCAAACCTTAAGTTCTGGACACATTGGCTAGCATTTTCATTTGATACCGATTACCGGTACATTAGAAGCGCAGCATTGAATACCTTCGAATAAAATCATGTTGTTAAGGCAAATCTTAACCCTCGCCGGCACAGGCCATTTTGAGCCCTTTGACGGCACAAGGGTACGACCCCCCTTGCGTTTGGCCCCTGATTGAGCTAGAGCTTCGCGGAAAAAACGAGCGTGTTGCCCGTCACGAGAGGAAGCCAATGAAACCCAATTTTAATGTCCTAGGTCATCGGTTGATCTTCCAGGCCAGGTCAATGACCCAAAAATCGGGAATATCGGGACCTGTTAGAAAGTCGTAAAGTGTGGCTGCTAAGAGGTTTTCCGGGGTGCTGATCACGAATATCGTGTTAGTTTTGATCACAGATGATGTCGTTAAGCGTTTAGGCCAGGTCGGGTCAGGTCAGGTCGGGTCAACCGGTAGGGGTCGTGACGGGTATTCGTAGTACCTGTCATCCGCCTCTGACAGCTTCGTAACATGTTGAGAAGGCACCAAAATTACTTCTTAAATGTTCAAATGGTTGCTAAATTCTAATTCAGCTCCACAAACTAGCCTAGAAACATGTAAAACTCGAAAAAGTGAACCGAGGTCAACAAAGGTCAATGACCTGACCTGACCTTCAGGTGACCTTGACACCCACCCTTATGCATGGGAGCAACATCAAATCACATGTTTGAACGTTTGAAACCACGAAAAGCTTGCAAACGCGCGGCTAATGCCAGCCGACATACGCCGAATCGCGATTCCGGCCAAACATGGTTTCGGAATAGTGGTCACAGGTCAAAGTTCATTTGGGACAGGGTCATGAAATTTTCAGGGTAGGTGTAAAATTGATCAATGCGAGGGTACTGAAAGTTTTGTCGCGATCGACCGCTTTTTACACGAGTTATTCGCGAACAACCTTAGGGGGGGGGGGGTTGCATCAACTCCCTTGCATCAACCCCCCCCCCCCGCCCTGTGCCGGCGAGGGTTAATTAACGTGTAGGGGAGAGAGGTCATATTGCGCCACCTTAAGGATATCGGCCTATTGCGGCTAAAGTTGACCAGCTGTCATGCTTGATGATATCTCAAATTGTACCTCAGTTATTTTGGCATCAAATTACAACTCCTAATTTGTATCACACCCATAAAAATTAACAAGAGAAAAGTTTTCCGACACACCTGCAAAGGGCGCATTTACGGACTCGGGACTACCCCATCAAAAAGCGCCCATGCCTCTCATGTAAAAGCGCCCTATTAAAAACAACGGTTTGCCACCTAACTAAGTAGCCTATTTGAACGTGTCAGCCTATTAACCATTTATGCTGTGATGGCTAAGGTAATGGTAAGGTGAGCGCTCTAATAATCAAAGTGTTCAATGAAATGTGTCCCAACCACCATGGATGCTGTTTCTCTGGGTTGAAGAATAGGGCGCAAATAGGGTGGGCGCCATTACGAATGGAACACATTTTCATGAGCTTCAAATATGGCGAGGACAGCGAAGCCACGGTGGTGATAAACTTTCAAAACTACCATTAAACGAGCAATTAACAATGATTATTAGTTGAATCACTATTAAGATAAACCATGACACTAGCAAAGGTCGAAATAGGCTGTTTCGCGTAAGAAAATAGAGGAAATCACAAAAAATGGTCTGCGAGAAAGCTGAGACACCTCACCTGCCCCCGTGGACCGGAATAAGAGCGAGTTATTGGTGGTGAAGTAAATGCACACATTCGAGCATTCATTCGAATCGATTTTTGGACAGGAGGAAGGTGTGGCGCATTTAAGAACATGGCGCAATATGACCTCTCTCCCCTAAGTAAAAGTACGAAATGTTTGTTAGGTTTGTGTACAATTGCAATGCTCGAACTTTTCATACAAAAAGCAACGGCGTTGATTAATATTTGTCAAAGTTGGTTAGCAACATATGAAAAGAGCAATATCAGGTACCCTCTGCACCCATTTTTTTTTTCTTTAATAATCGAAAAAGGCGACAACCTTCTCCCCAACCCTTATCCAGTAATTAACATCACGCAGCCAAAGACGGATTTGGAATTTTGATTTTTACTTCATTGGTTCAGGGGGCGATGCTCCCAGTTTCAACCAAACAACAAAGTAACCCAGTGTATATATGTGATGACTTTAATTGCCGATTCTGTTCACATGAACAACCTTTTCGTTTTTCCTCTTTTCAGGACGGCACTCCATCCAGGAAGCGCCCCCGTGATTATTCTGGAGACGCTGCGAGGAAACGAGCTGCCCGAGCTTTGGAGACCGAGGGAGAGCGTCAGGAGCGCCTCCAAGAAAATGCTGCTCGCCAAGCTGCCGCCCGAGCTCGAGAGACTACTCCTGACCGCCAGCAACGGCTTGAGCAGCAGGCCGCCCGTCAAGCCTCCGCTCGGGACCGGGAGCCGACTCCGGAACGACAGCAACGGCTTGAGCAACATGCCGCCCATCAAGCCGCCGCTCGGGACCGGGAGCCGACTCCGGAACGCCAGCAGCGCCTGGCTGAAGACGCCGCCCGCCACGCTGCCGCCAGACAGCGGGAGGACCGCGCCGCGCTGCTGGCAGCGGACGCCGAGCGGCAGCGTCTTCAACGAGAAGAGCTGCGCCGACGCGCGCCGCACAAGCTGGCTCTGCACTACAGCCGCGAGGTCTACGTGGCACCACCTCGGCTGCAGCTGGGCCAGATGGACGTCATCTGTGCCCACTGCGGTGCGCTCCGCTGGCGGCAGGAGTCGCCCGGCGCCTGCTGCCACGCCGGCAAGGTGGCTCTGCCATTTCATCCGCCGCCTCCGCCAGCTCTGTGCCAGCTCCTGTCTCCCGACTCGCCATACCATCGGCACTTCACCCACAACATCAGGGCCTACAACCGCGCCTTCCAGCTGGCCAGCATGGGCTGCGAGCAGGTCCGTCAGCCGGGATGGAACCCGACCTTCACGGTCCACGGCAACGTCTGCCACCGGATCGGTAGCCTGCTCCCGGCTGAGGGCGACCAGCCTCAGTACATGCAGGTGTACTTTTACGACCAGGCGTTGGAGGCGCGGCGGAACGTCTTTGTCGACCTGGAGCCGGCCGTGCTGCAGCAGCTCCAGGAGATGTTACACGCCACCAACGTGTACGTCCTCGGCCTGCGCTCGGCGATGGAGCTGCTGCCGCCCGAGCAGAACGACATCAAGATCGTGTTTAGCGCTAGGCGGCGGCCGGCCAACGAACACGAGCGGCGCTTCAATCTGCCCGAGACCGGCGAGGTCGCGCTCTTGCTGCCCGAGGAACCGCACGGGCAGCGGGATATCGTCCTGCACCGTCGCGACGGCCACCTGGAGCGGATCAGCGAAAACCACCGCAGCTACGATCCGCTCCACTACGTGCTGCTCCATCCGCACGGCACCGACGGCTGGTCCCTGGAGATGAAGCGCCAGCTCGGCGTCACGGCCGGGCAGTACTACGCCTTCCACCTGCGGTACCGGCCCGGCCACTTCAACCTCATCTCCAGGTGTTACGAAACGAAACGAATGACGTTAGCTTTAGGTCGTATTTTCAACCCGAACACATCGACACGATACGATACGACGATTGCGATACGAGAGCGACACGTGGCATATCCCACACGCTTATCAACGACAATGGCCATGGCCGACCACTCGGCGCCACCGACCGACTCTCGCGATCCAACTACAGCTTTCCAGGCGCGCCGCCAGGGGGACACAACAGCCGCCCACGACCGCCAAATCGGCGGCGGTTTCACGTTCGGTAACACTCCCCGCCTGTTAGAACGGTAACATACATTAACGGTCTAACAGCAAACGAGATACGACACTTCACTTAATACTAACACACGACGATATACACGATAAAATAACACTCGCAACGATGACAATGCGCGCAACGCTTCATCAAAGGCACGGTACATCGGAACTTGAGCTACTCCTAATCCAAGACTTCCAAGTCATGCAGACGCTGTACTGGCCGCGTACGAACGCCCTGAGCCGTCCTGACGTCGGCGGCTCTCACGACACCATCACTGCCCGGATGAAGGTGTTCTACTACTCCCATCAACCAGTGCAGCCTCGGGACATTGTCCTCCCGAATGAGAACAACGGAACCTATCTGGAGCTTCCCACGAGACTTAAACTTCTTAACCGAATGCGGCAGGCTGCGGAGGTAGTCAGTCTGCCACACACTCCAGAACTTCGCCAACATGTTCTGGTGCTCAACGTCCCTCTCCGTCAGGGACGACGCTGAAACCTGGTCCGAATCATCAACCACAAACGCACGAACACCGGCTACTCTGCCGGACAGAAAGTGACTCGGGGTTAGAGGCCGAGCTCCGTCCACATCATCACTGACAAAGGTTAGTGGACGAGAATTTACACAGGCCTCCACCTCCAAAAGCAGCGTTTCCAGCTCCACCTTGGAGAGGACGCTCCTGCCGAGAGTCTTTCTCAGGGAGCTCTTAACAGTACGAACTAACCGCTCCCAGTGACCGCCCCACCATGCCGCGCGGGGGGCAATAAACTTCCACTCTGGGCCCGCCGGACCCAGCTCAGCTAACAGGCTGGTAGCCGCGGCTCTAAACGTCTTGGCGTTGTCCGAATACATCATCGTAGGGGTACCACGTCTGGCACAGAACCTTCTGAACGCCAGCAAAAAATCTGACTGGGACATGGAATCCGTCAACTCAAGGTGAATAGCTCTGGTTACAGCGCATGTGAATAGACAGACATACACCTTCTGCTTGGGCAAGCAGAAGAGCGGGCCACAAAAATCAACGCCCGTCACTGAGAAAGGCGGAGCCTTACTAGCCCGCTGAGCCGGTAGAGGCGCCACTGGCGCGTTGAGGGCAGCAGCATCTTGCCTCTGACACGCTGTGCAGGCCCGCTTCACCCTTTTGGCCGCTCTCCTCCCTCCAACGATCCAGTACTCATTCCTCAGGGTCGTCAGGAGGGTGTCAACACCGCAGTGTTTGAGCAGCTCGTGCTGGAAACGGATCATGAGGTCAGCAAGATGACCCTTGGGAATCAAAATCGGACACTTTTCTCCCAGAGTCAGATCAGTGTTCGCAAGTCTGCTTCTCACACGAAGCAGGCCCTTGTCATCAACGAATGGACGTAGAGACGCGATACGAGACTTTCCGTCCACAAACATGCCCTTATTCAGGGCTCGACATTCGTCAGGGAATGCCTGAAGCTGGGTGACTTTGATCAGACATGTTTTGGCCTCTGACAACTCAACATAGCTCAAAGAAGGGCTGCGGTAGCTGGAGGCAGGGTGGCGACCCTGGGAGAGTCTCAGAGACCTACTCTCCTTCAGCCTCCCAATAAACCTCAACACTAGTCCAACCACACGGATGGCCTTGGTCAATGAGGAAAAGCGTGTTACCTCAAACACAGGCTGCGAACAGTCAGATGTGGCCGCTGCTGCTGCCAACTGACCCTCAGCTGCCACGAACAGCTCTGACTCCGGAGAACTCGACACGTCAGCACTGGCCGACTCGACAGCTGCTGCTGCCGGCTCACCTTCTGCTGCTGAGAACAGCTCAGACTCTGGCAGCAAGACCTCAGGTGAACTCAACAAGTCAGCACCAGCACAGTCACTCAGCCAGTCGGGGCCAGAGAACCAAGGTGAGTCAGTCAGTGCCTCAGCATACACACCCCTCGTGATCAGGTCAGCCGGGTTGTCCTGACCAGGACAATGAGACCACTGTGCAGGATCAGTCAAACTCTGAATCTCAATCACTCTATTCTTCACAAACTGCTTCCACCTGGATGGATCACCTTTGATCCAGCCGAGTGACACCATAGAGTCTGTCCAGCACCAATACAGAGTCTCAGAGGGGAGCTTCAAAGCGCGACAGACAAACCTGAGCAGACGAGCAGCCAGCAGGCTGGCAAGCAGCTCCAGCCTGGGTAAGCTGACCTGCTTCAGCGGGGCCACCCTGGCTCGAGACATCACCAGCGGTGTCACCACCGAGCCGTCCCTCAGTGTCAGGCGCAGGTACACCGCAGCTCCATAGCCAACCTCTGAAGCATCACCAAATGCATGGACTTCAACAACGTGTACATCATGCCACCCCTTCACACAGTACGAACGGGGCACACTGATACTCTTTACATAGCTCAGCCCATCGAGCCACCTCAGGAACCTGACTCTCACATGTTCAGGCACATTGTCATCCCAGTCAAGTCCCAAACGCCACGTCTCCTGAAAGAGGCGTTTCACAGTCATGATGTAGGGCGTGAGCAGACCCAGTGGGTCAAACAGCCTGGCTATAAAAGACAGGATCACTCGCTTTGTCACAGCAATGTCTGATGGGATATCCACACCCTCAAACGACAACACATCCTGTGACGGATCCCACTGAACACCCAACACTTTGTGGCTTTCACCATCAAGACTCGACAAGGCTGGACCTTTGTCCAGCACTACCCTGCTGTTCGAGTTCAGTTTCGTCAGTGTCATCCCTGCTTGGCCCAACACATCACGAGCCTCAGCGAACAGAGCGCAAGCCTCAGGCTCAGTGTCAGCACCACTCAGAAAATCGTCGACATACAAGTTCTCCTCCAATTCAGAGACAGTGTTGGAAGGAGGAAACCCCTTGAGGTGGTGACGAATGGTAGCTGAGAGAAGAAACGGGCTACAGTTCACCCCAAACGTGACACGACAGAACTTCATAGTTCTGATCCTGTCCCCATGCTGCCACAGGAACCTGTGGACCTCCTGATCCTTGTCACAGAGTTGCACCATCAAAAATGCCTTTCGGATATCAGCTGACACAGCGAACTTCCAGCGTCTGAATCGCAAGAGCACCTGAACTAAATCAGGGAGCAGACATGGTCCAGTCTCTAGACAATCGTTGAGGCTAACTAAGTTCGGACCCTTTGCGCTGGCATCAAACACAGGACGCACCTTAGTGGTCACACTCGACTGACGGACTACTGGCCGGTGAGGCAGATAGAACACAGGGAAAGCATCGTCGGCATCACAGGACACCTCAGTAATAATCCCCTCTGCCTCAAGCTCCTCTAGAGCGTGGTCATAGTCGGACTGCAACTGGGGGTCTTTCTCTAGCTTCCTAGTGAGACTGCGTAGTCTAACCTCTGCTGTTTTTCTGTTGTCCATCAACTTATCCTGCCCATCAGGCTTCCATGGTAGTTTGACCTCATATCTACCCTCCTTAAAACAAACTGATGATTCAAACTCCTTTAACACTGGGTCAGAGCCTATGTCATCATCTAGAGGCTTGATGCCTATTGCATCCAGATCCCAGAACTGCCTGAGCCTCTCCTCAGAGACATCAGACATCACCAGCAACTGGGTACCACTCGAGTTCTGACTGTTAGCACACTCGTACTGCCCAGATATGATCCACCCAAACACGGTCTGCTGCGCTACAGGACCCAGATCAGATCTCAGACACCCAGTGCCCATGAGCTGCCAGTAGTAATCAAGGCCGATGAGGATGTCAACAGTGAGCTCACCACCATCACCCGGAGGGTCAGCCAGCTCCAGGTTGCCGAACAAGGCCAGCAGGCTGGAGGGAACCGACGGCCGGGCCAGAGGGGAGCAAATCACTGGAACCTCAGCAGCCTCCACCCGGACCACTGCCGGGTCTGAAACATGTGCACCAGACATCTGAACACAATAGATGTTCCTGGACTTAGAGCCACTTTCACTGCCACCGAATGCAGTGTAAGATATTTCCCTGCTCTCAACCCACTCAGGAGCACATCTGCGCACAAGACTAGATGACACATACGATCTGTTCGATCCAGTATCAAAGAGGACAGTAGCTCGGACAGTCCTACCATCACGACCCTGCACTAACACAGCAGCAGTAGGAAGCACAACACTCTGACTGCCAGCTGGTTCTGAGCATGACAGGTTCACATTGGGTGATTTGGGCACACTTTGAGCTCTAACATCATCAGCTGACTGAGACATCACATGAGAACTCACTGGGGCTGCAGCTGGGGCAGCCATCCTGAAACATGACACAGCGTGGTGCTTACCTCGACAGTTATCACACCTCGCACCGCACGAGTTACCTCTGTGGCCCTCCTTGAGGCATCGAAAACACAAACCTGAGTCTCTTATCTTCCCTGGCCTGTCCCTTACAGCCAGCTTCAGCAATTCCGGACACTTGGCCGGCGGGTGGGAGTCATGGCAAATCCCACAGTTAGACCTGGCAGCAGCAGTGTGAAGCACTGACGCTGCAGCCACTCTCTGTCTCTGACCAGCAAATCGGCCTGCTTGATGATCTCTCTTCTTCTCCGTCTCTCTTCCAGAATCACTGGCCATTGCACCACACTTGAATGTCTGTGAGCGTTCACGGCACTGAATCTCCTCCTTCAAGAACTCTAACAGAAACTCCAAGTCAGCTTCCTTACCAGCACTCTTCCTGGCCCATTCCATCCGAATCACTTCAGGCAGGCGTGACACAATGATAGGTGTCAGCACGACGCCATACCTCTCACCAGTAATGTCCAAGTTCTCCAGACTCCTGACATGAACTAAGAGTTCATCCTGGAAAGACTTAAGGCCTTCAGACTTCTTATCACAACTCGACTGCAGGAGCGCCTGAATATGGTTGTATATAATCTGCTCCTTTCTGCCAAACCTGTCCTTGAGAATCTCACAGGTTGTCTTGTAGTTCACTTTTGACAACGCAAGACCCTCGACACTCTTTGCTGCTTCTCCAGTCAGCAAGGATCTGAGATATGTCAGCTTGGTCACCTCGGGTAAGTCACTGGCATCCACAGTCACAGAAAAAGCATCCCAAAACTGAGGCCACTCAAGCACGTTGCCAGAAAACTTGGGCAACTGAAGCTTTGGGAGCTTGACGGAAGGATCAGCTGATCCAAGCTGAGACGCACTGGCACAAGAAGCCGAGTCATCAGCCCCATCCTTCACCTTAAGAACACCAAGAGTTTGCTGGGCTTTGTTTCGCACATCCACAGCACGGTCTCTGATCTCACCAGCGGCTTCGATGGCTTCCATGATGCCATCTTCTGGAAGCTCTTGCTCGAGTAGCTCCTCAGCAACATCAAAATCACTCAGCCGCTTATCAAAGTCACAGAGCAAACTTTCGAGGTCAATCACTTTAACCTCCTTCAAAGACAGGCTTTGCTCGAGTTTCACAACTGTTCGAGTGAGCCACCCTTGAGCGCTTATCTTGCGCCGCTTCAGTTTCTCAAGATCGGCCATTTCACGAGCGATTCCAACCGATCCCGGGTAGTTTCGGCACCATATGTTACGAAACGAAACGAATGACGTTAGCTTTAGGTCGTATTTTCAACCCGAACACATCGACACGATACGATACGACGATTGCGATACGAGAGCGACACGTGGCATATCCCACACGCTTATCAACGACAATGGCCATGGCCGACCACTCGGCGCCACCGACCGACTCTCGCGATCCAACTACAGCTTTCCAGGCGCGCCGCCAGGGGGACACAACAGCCGCCCACGACCGCCAAATCGGCGGCGGTTTCACGTTCGGTAACACCAGGGGCTACATGCTCTTCCAGCAGCTGTTGGTCGACGCCTTCGCCAAGGTGGAGTCGGACCGGCTCTGCTATCTGCGCCACAACCAGGACGCTCTCCGGGCCGACACAGTGCGCGGCCTGACGGACGCCATCCACGCCGGCGACGTCCAGGGAGCCGCCGTCGGACGTATCGTGCTGCCGGCGTCGTTCACCGGCGGCAAACGCTACATGGTGGAAAAGTTGAACGACGCGCTGGCGTACGTGCGCGAGTTCGGCGGCGGCGACCTGTTCATCACCGCCACCTGCAACCCGCTCTGGCCGGAAATAACAGAGACCCTCCACCGTCTCTACCCTGGGCAGCGGTCTCCAGACCACCCGGAGATCGTCTCCCAGGTGTTCCGCCAGAAGATCCGCGGCCTCATCCATCTGCTGCAGCAGGGGGCAGTGTTTGGACACGTCCGAGCCTACGTGTGCGCCATCGAGTGGCAGAAGCGCGGCCTGCCACACGCGCACATTATTCTCTGGCTCGACCCCGAAGATAAGCCGCGGCCGGACACAATCGACCAGTTCGTGTCGGCCGAGATCCCCGACCCGGTGACGGAGCCAGAGCTGCACGCCACCGTGACCACCAAGATGGTGCACGGCCCGTGCGGCGCCCACCGGCCGGCAGCCTCCTGCATGACGGACGGCGTGTGCAGCAAACGGTACCCCAAGTCGTTCGCCGCTGTCACCGCGGTGACCGACAATGGGTACCCCCAGTACCGCCGCCGGAGCCCAGCGGACGGTGGACGCACCGTCGTGCTCGACAGGCAGGGCCGCCAGGTTGTCATTGACAACCGCTGGGTCGTCCCCTATAACCCCCTCCTCAGCCGCGCCCTGGACTGCCACGTGAATGCCGAAATAATAACTCACGCCTTCACGTGCATAAAATATGTGATCAAATATGTCACTAAGGGCGCCGATCAGGTGATGTTCAGGGTTGCGGATGGGGAGGAAGTGGTGGACGAGATCGCCACCTACCAGCAAAGTCGCTACCTCAGCGCCATGGAGGCGGCCTGGCGTCTGCTGGCCTACCCGGTCCACGACCACGCGCCGACGGTGGAGCAGCTGCCGGTGCATCTGGGCGGCGAGGACCAGCCGCTGCGCTTCGCCGCCGGCGACAGGCTGGACGAGGTGGTGCAGCGCGGGGCGGACACCAAGCTAACCAGCTTCTTCAAGCTCTGTGCTGAAGATGAGTTCGCGGCCACTCTGCTGTACCACCAGGTGCCGCGTTACTTCACCTGGCAGCAGCCGACGCGCAGCTGGCGGCGGCGGCGACGAGGTGCACCTCACCCAGAGGCAGCCGGCATCTTTGTCGCTCAGGCCATTGGTCGTGTGTTCAGCGTGAGCCCGCGCGCTGGAGAGGCCTTCTTCATGCGCGTGCTGCTTCACCAGGTGCCTGGGCCACGGTCCTACGCGGATCTACGGACAGTGGACGGCCGCCTTTGCGCCACCTTTCAGGAGGCCTGCTCGGCGCTGGGCCTGCTGGAAGACGGCCAGCACTGGCACCGGGCCATGGCGGAGGCGGCCGTCATCTGCTTCCCCCGGCAGCTGCGGCGCCTGTTCGCCCTCATCGCCATCGAGGGCCGCGCCACCTGCGACCTGCGGCTGCTGTGGCGCACCTACCGGGCGGCCATGTCTGAGGACGTGCGACGGCGGCTTCAGAGACATGGACGGCGGATGGACGGCGGCGGCGACGGCGGCGACGACGGTGAGGACGGCGACGACGGCGAGGACGGAGACGGCCTAAATGACCCCGTCTACACCGAAGCGCTCCGTCTGATCGGAGGACATGTCCTCCGCATCAGTGGCCACACGCTGGCGACCGTCGGCCTGCCGCAGCCACCGGAGGCACCGGCTGAGGAGCCGCCGGAGGACGAGGCCGCACCGGACCAGCCAGACCCGGCCGCACGGCACCGGGAGCTGGTGGCCGAGCACGTGCCGCTGCTGACCCCCGACCAGCGCGCCGTGTTCGAGGAGGTCGGCCGACGACTGGCCACCGGCGAGGGAGGACTCATGTTTCTCCAGGCGCCAGGAGGTAAGTTCCACAGGCCACAGCGGAAAGAAACTACCGCTTTCATTGGTGAAACAGTTAACTGCTGGACAACGTACTTACATTGAAACATTCACTTTAAGCCGTATGAATGAAATATGGTTTCACTTAAATCCCAGTCGCTGCATTTTGATCGTTAGTTACATTTTGCACCATTCAAAACACTACCCATGCAGATTAATTCATTGTTCCACCAGTGCCGAAAGCATATTGCCGCTTTACGTTTTCGCCGTGTTCCGCCATACACGTGTGCATTGCGGAAAAGTCTACCCACACATTTCATTCTTCAGACGTCAGCCGTCGGATACTCATTTGCAGCTAACAGCGTTTCCAAGGAGAACAATAAAATGTGAAGATAATTTTCATCCTGCAGTGTTTTATTTCAATGTCAAACAAACGTAATGCTTGGTGCTCACTGCAAAATTTAAGGTGGTAGTTGGTAGAAGTGCAGTCTAATGTGAACAGATTCATTAGTAAATCGTCCTGAGATTTATTTTTGGTGTGCCTCTTACCAAAAATAAATATCAGGACAGCTAATGTCATACAGTTCAAGTAGACAATCGAATTCAAAAGTAATTATACACACTGATATAAGGCTACCCGAACGCCTTGATAGAACGCATGAATCTGCACCAACGTGACGGCCCGAAAACTGCGTACGTCCTGCTAATCAATGCTGGAAAATTTCATGGCGTTAATTTAGTGCTCTCCCCTTCCTCAAATAGCGTGTAGGAATGTCAACACCGATTTATTCATAAGCGTTTGATGTAAGAACGGGGATATAAAAATACAAAGAAAAACAAATGATGGTTCCGGTTCGTGGTGTGTCCTGTGCTGACTGTCGTCAAGCAAAAAGGTGGAGACCATTCTCTGCCCTATATCGCATTTTGATTTTCGTACACAACTTTGCAACTTCCTTTAAAGCATCGCTATCTGTCCTTTGCTGAAAGCACTATTCCACAGTATAGCCTTATTGCTTGATCCGCAGGGTGCGGGAAAACCTTCCTGGAGAACACCCTCCTGGCCACCGTCAGAGCCGAGGGTGGCGAGGCCATTGCCGTCGCTACCACAGGCATCGCCGCCAGCCTCCTGGACGGCGGCACCACCGCCCACTCCCGGTTCAAGATCCCCGTCTCACTGACTCCCACATCCACCTGCGACATCCGCAAGAGGACGGAGGCAGCCGACAGCATCCAGCGCTGCCGCCTCCTGGTGTGGGACGAGGCTGCCATGTCCCACCGCTGGGCAGTGGAGGCGGTCGACCGGACCCTCCGGGACATTCGGGGGTGCGACCGGCCGTTTGGGGGGCTGCTCACGCTCTTTGCCGGTGACTGGCACCAGATTTTGCCGGTGGTGCGCGGCGCTGCCCGCCACCAGGTAGTGGCCGCCTCTCTGAAGGCGTCGCCCCTCTGGCGAGAGGTGGTGTGTGTGGAGCTGCACACCAACATGCGGGTGCAGCTCCAGGGCGACGCGGGGGCGGGCCAGTACGCCCAGTTCCTGGCCGAGCTTGGCTCGGGTCGGCTCCCTCTGTGTCCAGGCACACCCGACACTGTACAGCTCCCGCCAGCCGTCCTGAGTCCGGCTCGGACTCTGGACGAGCTGATAGACCGGATATACCCCGATCTGGCCCAAAATTTGCCCAACTTGGGCTGGCTCGAAGAGCGCGCCATTTTGACCGTCCTAAATTCCGACGCAAAGAAGGTCAACGACCTGGTCATCGCGCGTATGCCTGGACCAGAGATGGAGTACACAAGCGTGGACTCCATGGCCGACCCTGACGCGGTGCCGCTGGCAACCGAGGTGCTAAACAACATCGAACTTTCTGGAATGCCGGCCCACAAAATTCGTCTGAAGACCGGCGCTCCGGTCATTTTGATCAGGAATTTGGATGCACCTCGGGCTGTCAACGGCACCCTCTGTGTCGTAAAGACGCTGATGCACAACGTGTTGGAGCTGACGGTGCTCACCGGACCGGACCGCGGCAACAGTATTTTTGTTCCGCGACTCCCACTCGAGTCTTCGGCTGACTCTGGCTTGGGATTTTCATTCCGGAGGCTACAGTTCCCCGTGAGCGTGGCCTTCGGGATGACGATCAACCGTAGCCAGGGCCAGACGAAGAAGCGTGTGGGAGTCTGCCTAAAGAACCCCGTGTTCTCTCACGGACAGCTCTATGTCGCAATGTCCCGAGTGGGTAGCATTGGCGGCATAGAGCTGTTCGGCGGGCCAACGACCCGCAACGTAGTCTACCCCGAGGTCCTACGTTAGAGGGGCACTGCCCGCCAGAGTCTGCCGCCGGTGAGCACCGTCTGCTCGACCTTTTTATATCTTCTTTATTGGATGTTTCTTATATTTGTATGATAAGTGATGTTTTATAGCTTTGATATTCACATTTGTTGTAAAAGTACAGAAAATTGTCGGTATTTATTCATCTGTCCTCCAAAGGTGTGTGTCATAGCCGCCAATGGTGTATGTACGCTGAGCTATAACATTTGCATGCACGTATTGCTATGAAATGCACGTGTATCTTAGCCGTACTTAGACAGGCTGCACAGCTGCATGTAAATAGTGTGGAAGGTGAGTGCATAAACATAATGCCGAAGTGGACACGCACATATATGGAGTTTCACGTTATCTACATCTCTTTATTCTGGAGGTTTGCGGTTTGACGATGGGCGTGAGGGAACAGGAACAGCAAATTCTGGAACTCGACAGGTGAGGAAATGAACGCGATCCACGACACATAGGATCTATGAGGACAAACAAAAGGGGCCCATCATGGAAAATTTCACATCGGAACACGGAAATAGACATAGCGAAATGTACAGCGAAAAAGGGGGGCTGAGAAAAACGTAAAATACGAGATGATGGTTGAGGGGGAAACCGCCTATTAATAAATACTGAGCCAGGAACATCTGATACATG